TTACCTGGTTCCAGGGATGCAGTGACTATGGTGAGATGGTAGTTTTCCTTAGTCATTGGACTGACATGACAGTACATTTCCAAGAACATGACTCCAGTACAGGAAATGGCACAGACAGAGGCGCAAAATCCACAGTTAATTTAAGCTCAGTGTTAGGTCGAAGATCCTAGACTTTAATACATGTGATTTACCATCCAGTCCTCAAAGTCTCCTTGAGGGGAAAAAAACCTCAAAACCAAAACCCCAAACTACTTATGACCAATCCCTATGAAATGAATGTAGTACCATGAAGGGATTTTAAAAATATCTATTATGTTAACTAGTACCACTCACACAGTAAATATGCCTGTCCTTTTCATCTTTGTCCATGTATCATGATTCTAGTTGTTATGCGCTGTTGTGTCAGAACTGATGCATAGCTGACCCTCCAGCAGATTTTCAGAGGCAGTAAATCACATAGTAGAAGGCTACCCATCTTAGAACTGGATGTCTTTGGGTTGGTAGAGCAACTTCTTACCACTAGGCCATCAGAACTCTTTATGTTGTTGTTAATTCTGTTAAATATGAATGTGACTCATAACAGCCTCATGATCAATAGATCTGAACTCTTTCCTGTCCTATGCCATCCTTATCATCCTGCAAACATTTGAGTCCACAGCCACACTGTATCAATCCATCCCCTTGAGGGCCTTCCTCTTCTTCAATGACTTGCCACCTTTCCAAGCATGAACGCCTTAATTTAAAATATAAACCAATCAAGTTGTCCCATAACCCATTCAAAGTCATAAAACACTTTTGAAGAAATAGAATACCAAAGATAAAAAATAACGGCAAACAGTAACAAATAAACAGAAAAATACTACAACATCTGAATTAGATATTAGGAGTTGAACTGGACCCCTAAACCAAATGTTCAACTAGTAATGTTATGTATATGCCTTCAGTTTTGCAGATTACTTACATACACATTGATCTATGTGTATAAAAAAACTGCAAAAAACAAAACAAAAAACCAGTGCAGAAAGCTTCCCTTGTCAAAATTACAAAGAAATGGCATATTCTGGTGCCTTCTGATTTTTTTTTTTACAAAAAACCTTTTCACTTGCTTGTTTTACAATGTTATCTACTAATAATTTGTTTCATATACCACTAATTTATTTTCAGAGTCTTTCCATTGCTAATTCTACAAGGAATTTTGAGTACTTTCATTAAAAGTACATTAAAATAACATTGCTTAATTTTTCTGGGTCCTCAAGTCCCAATTTTCCATTTGGCCCCCTCTCCTATTTCCCCAGACAACTACTCCAAATCTTTTGTATCCTTCAGGTTTTTCACCTATTTTCCTTCCCTGACTCTCAAAAGATGAATCTGCTTAATTTTTAAAATTAGGTCAGCTTAAGTGAATTGTCTTCCTTCCTTTTCCCCCTGCAGCTACTAAATTTAGCTTGTTTTCTTCCAAATTGGAGGAATTAGTCCCCAAATAATTATCTCATTTAGTGTCAAGATTCACTTTATCTTTTCTAGTAACATTATTCTATTTTTCTCTTGCATATTTTACCTGCAAATGTTCCATCAATTGATTTTCTTTTCAGAACCACAAAGCTCAAAATTTTCTTTCTCTATTCTATTTTAAAAGAAGTTTTGATGACTTACTCACATGCAAAAGGGTTCTCTGGTGGTGTAATCCATAGGGAGCTGCACTGTTACCCCCAAACTGGCCCATCGCTCCAGGTCTGAATCCACTGGTGACTTTGAGAAAGACAGATAATCTTCTGCTTGTGATTCACAGCCTCTGAAAACCTTCTAGTCAGCTGTCAATTCGGACTTTATGACAATGATTTATTTGGTTTTTGTGTATTTGTATATGGCTTGTAGTATGTTGCACTGCTAACTAAAGTGTTGTTGGTTCAAATCTACTAGCTGCTCCTTGGGAAAAAGATGGGCCGTCTCCTCCCATAAAAATGTTAACTTCAGAAACCAGATGGATGGTTGCTAGGGCTGTCTATTTATACTCCCTGATGTTTATGTTGTAAGGTGCTGTCAAGTCAGCTCTTACTCGTAGTACACCTGAACGAAACCTTGCCTGATTATGTGCCAGCCTTACAATCTTCTGTGATTAATTAATCTACTGTGCTTAAACTCATTGTTGAAGACTCTGAACCAATCCACCTCCATGAGTGTCCTTCTCTTTCACCAACTTTCTACTTTTCCAAGCATGACCTTCTCCAGGTCTTGCTTTCTTTTTAAATATTTTAGTCTATTTTTAAAACTTAGTGAATATCTAAATAAATTTCTAGCTCAGATTTTTCCCCTGAACACTATACCAATATATTAAGTTGCCTCTGAATATCTCTACTTTACACTTATAAATAGACCAAATGTTAAATTCTCAAAATAACTTTAGTATCTTTTACATATTCGTTCCACATCAGGTATACCATTTCCCTTCTCAGTAAGTTAAGAGCACTAATCACTCAAACTCATCTTGAATCTTTATTCTTCCTCACTTCTCTCATCTAATTAAGTGAGCAAATCTTATCCTCTGTGTGTGTGTGTGCATATGTATGTATTTCTCAAACCTATCTGCTTCTCATTCCCACAGTCTTACCTGAAGATAAACTGTCAACGTCAAGTGCCTTAATGTCTTAAGTGGTTTTTGAGGTTCTCAGAAAAAAAAACCCTGCACATTCTTGCAATATTGTCTTACATGCATACTTATTTAAGGCTAAGACCCACAGGTTTAAGAAAGATCCAGAACCATAGTACCAAAGTCAGTATTTCTTATCTAGTTAAAATAGAAGCTTTACAAGGTATTTGTACAGTATATGAAGGGAGCAAAAGAAGTTATTCACCTGGTACACTATTAATTTTTTAAAATGGTTAGATACTTAATCCTGACAATTCAGTGAGCTGTATACTTAAAAGATTCTGAACTTTTGGAAAAATCCAAAACTCCTTCCTATCATCAAGTTGGTTCCAACTTATAGTAACCTTTCACTGGTTTCGGAGCCTACAACTTGCAGTAAGCGAAAACTCCCCATCTTTTTCTTGCAGAGAAACACGGGGATTTGAATTACCAGAAACATGAGGCCTTTGAGTTGGCAGTGCACCTCACCACAGACTACATCAATGAAACTCTTCTTTGAACTTTAGGCTGAAGAATTAAGTTCTAAACTTTCCTAACGGCAGCCTTCGCTCTGTTACAGTTACCCGGTTCTCTTACAACTCTCGGTCCTGGAACATTATTTATGTTCCTTGGCAACTTTAATCTCATTTTAATCATCATCTCCTTTAAGGATATTTAATTTTCCTCTTCCAGACACTTCATTTCTCTCTGTAGAGCTCTCTATATACTTTCTATAATTTTCTGAGGAAACTAAGTGAAACCAGGATAACTTGCTTACTATGTTGTTTCCCCCCCTCAAATTTTTTTGTTTTATAAGCAGTGAATTTTATATACAGTTAAAAACTGCTTACTGCTACTGGAATTTTGATTGCTATTCTAGATTCATATACATGGATGCTCAATTGTTAAACATTCTGACAGGAATCTCATACACTCTTGGCCTCAAATTACAATGTCAAAAACAGCCAGAAATTCCATTAAGCAAGGTAACCATAACACAAAACAGATAACCAGTTTTAGTCAAAAGCAGTATTACAGTGTAGATGCAATGCCAACAGTAGACTGCAGTGCCAATTACTCAGGGTTCTCAGAATACATAAAGCTGATCCAAGAACCTCATCATTAGTTGAGACCCTTACACTAGTATAAATGGAATACCAATTGGTAAAATTGAGAAGACTCAGGGAAGAAGGATATTCTTGACAAATCAGGTGGCTTTAATTTTTTGTAGTTTTCACTGGGCTACAAACTGTTTTGAAATATTAAGTGTATAGTTACTTTGAGTATTAATAGTTTTTACAAGGAAGTATACAAAGGAAGGCGTATTTCTGCATATGTATCATAGCCTCCACTGCTATGTATAAACATATGCACATATACCATATGCATTAAGAGGTGGGGAGACTACGTTGGAAGTGATTATATAGTTTCAGGCTACAAAAGACAGGTAGATCATTTGCTTAAACAATAAGAAAATTAGAATTAAGAGCTATTCGATGTTTCAGAATTTTATCCTCAGAAATCTGTAAATTAACTACTCCAAAAATAGGTTCACTAGTCACAGGGAGAATAAATTAGTACAATTTCCCTGACAGAGAATAGATTTAACACGAAAATAATAAAGAACTCTTACAAAGTTATAAAAAACAGAACAAAACCTGTTTTAATGACTAAAACAGAGATTAATCAATTTATAATGACCTTTAACTGTAAGCCCTAGAATCAGAAACAATGATTTTAAATTGCATGCAAAATTTAGTTACCGTAAAAGCAAAAGCAATATAAAAACCTCAAATAAAACAAAAGCTCAGCTTTCTAGCACAGACTCCAGGCCTTTTAAAATTTTTATCTTGATTGATCAGAATCTGTATACTTTTACATGCTCTTGATGTGGAGAAACAAGATATGGACAGTACTACAAATACTTCGCACATACAGAAGATTCCAAAGCACAGTATCCTCTTTTACCTTTTTGAGCCATTTTGGATAAAAGGCACTCCCAAAGGGTTCTTGGTAATATTTTTGCTAAGTTTATCACATAATTTTTACATGTAAAGTTAATGGTCCACTCATACCACAGCTTATAGGGACCACAAGGCATGGAAACTCACATACCAAACAACTAGCTTTTTCAACCACACTTTTGGACACGGGTTTCAAACAAAACATCTAGGCTTTGTTTTCTTGAAGTTAATCATTTGATCAATTTCTGTACTCTTACATGCTTAGCCAAATATATCATGAAACCCAGAGACCCACCAAAAATGATGGCAAAGGACTCTTTCAATCATTATTTTCTGTTTCTGACATCATCTGCTCCCACTCTCTTGCTCCAATTCAACACTGCTGCCATTCCCTACGTTCATATACTCAGTGTTCTGGGCCTGGGTTTAACTTCTCTGCTGAAAGACTAGTTAAAGATTAGTAATCCTTAGAATCATTACTGAGACTTTCTCTATGACAATCAAAACAGAGTAATGGAAGTCTATAATTGCCCATGGGCATTCAGACACCACTGGCTAAGGCCAAGGAAGAATTTATTTATTATTAAATTGGACTCATGTTGAGCCACATTGAAACTGCACTTGGGTAGCTAGTCTCAAATCAAATTGAGCTTTAACATTTCTTTACATCTATTGTAGCCATGTAGTGTGCAATTTTTGATGCTGGATAAGAGAAATGTGGCAATTGAAGCCTTCGCCACATGCATCACATTCATGAGTTTCTTGGATTTTCACCTCAGCATGGATCTTCTGATGGTTGACAAGGCTGCGCTGCTGACTGAAACTTTTGTCACATTTTTCACACTTAAAAGGTTTCTCTCCTGTGTGTATTCTCTGATGCTGAATAAGTCCTGAGTTCCGGCTAAAGGCCTTTCCACATTCATCACATTTGTGGGGTTTATTTCCTGTGTGTACACCCTGATGTCGAATAAGATTACAAAGTTGACTGAAGCTTTTACCACACTGTCTGCACAGATAGGGTCTTTCACCAGTGTGGATTCTCTGATGTTCAATAAGAAATGAGCTCCGACTGAAGCTTTTCCCACACACGGTGCAAAGGTAGGGCTTCTCACCAGTGTGGATTCTTTGATGTTGTACAAGATGAGCACTGACACTAAAAGTCTTTCCACACTCTTCACATTTATAAGATTTCTCCTTAGGATAGGCTTCCTGCTGTATGACAAGGTTGCAATTTGGATCAAAACTTTCCTTACTTTCACTGTATGGAAAAGCCTTCTCTCTGGTATGAATCCGCTGATGCTGAATAAGTCCTGAGCTTCTACTAAAAGCTTTTCCACATTCCTCACATTTATGGGGTTTGTCTCCTGTGTGAATTCTCTGATGACGAGTAAGGTTGCAAAGTTGACTGAAGCTTTTCCCGCACTCTTTGCACTGATACGGTCTTTCACCTGTGTGGATCCTCTGATGTTCAATAAGAAATGAACTCCGACTGAAACTTTTCCCACATTCAATACATAGAAAGGGCTTCTCACCAGTGTGGATTTTTTGGTGTTGTATAAGGTATGTGCTTAATCTAAAGGCTTTCCCACATTCACCACATTTATGAGGTCTTTCTCCAGTGTGAATTCTCTGATGCTCAACAAGCAAAGAATTTCGACTAAAGCTTTTCTTACATTTGGTACAATGATATGGTTTTTCACCAGTGTGAGTTCTCTGATGTTCAATTAGGTGTGATTTCCAACTGAAAGCTTTCCCACAGTCAGCACACTTATGGGGTTTCTCACCTGTGTGAATTCTCTGATGCTTAACAAGGCTCCTTCTCTGGCTGAAGCTCTGTTTACACTGGTTACACTGGTAAGGCCTTTCCCCAGTGTGGATTCTCTGATGTCTAATAAGTGTTGAGCTTACACTAAAAGTTTTTCCACAGTAATTACACTCATAGGGTCTTTCCCCAGTGTGAATTCTCTGATGTTCAATAACAAATGAACTGCGACTAAAACTTTTCCCACATTCATTGCACTGAAAAGGTTTCTCACCAGTATGGACTCTTTGATGTTGAATAAAATGGGCTTTGCGGACAAAACCCTTTCCACACTCTTCACATTTATGACATTTTTCTTCTGAATTTGGTCTCTTATGGATTATATTAGTGTTTCCTCGGAATATTCGTTGTTCTGGAGTCAAAGATTCCCTTGGTATTTCCCATAAGAAGATCCCTCTCTGTTTATCTAACCTACCAACAAGTTCAAAGGTTTCTCTACTCATGGGATCCTGGTCAATTTCACTTTTGATTCTTGTAACAATTACACTTTGTGGTTCCACTTCTTCTTCTATTTCCTCAATTTCTTGTTTCACAGTTGGTTTCTCATTCTTATCTTTACTCAAAACATCTAGAACAATAAAAAGAAAATGCAAACATCAGTCAAGTTTTTTCCTACTAAGAAGTATTTTAAAAAACCAACCAGAATAAGCAAACAAGAGAACTAAATCTATTAAAAAAAAAAGGAGCTCTGATGGCAGAGTCTGTACATCTGTGCTAACTCAAAGGTTATGCTGCTCTGTGGGAGAAATAGGCAGTCTTTTTTCTGTGCTCCTTACAGCCTTAGAAACCCAATGGAGAGTTGGTAGGAGTTGGAAAAAACTTGCTGGCAACAGTAGTTGTATCTCACATACCTTGGGCATGCAGCCAAGAGGGACCAGTCTTTAGAGAATGGTATTATGCTTAAAAGGGTCAAGGGGACAGCTCAGGAAAGGAAGACCCTGATGAGCTGGATTGATATAATAACTGGGGTAATGAGGATAGCTGTGTCAGAGTTACTGAATTTGGCTCAGGATAGAGCAGGGTTCAGAGCTACTGTGCATAGAGTTGCTATGAGTTGTATTTGGCTCAACAGCATATAACAACAACATTTAACTAATATTTCATATAACTCAAAGAAAAGTTTTTCTTGGGTAAAGCATGTAAAGGGAATTTAGGAGGCAAAGAATTAGACAAGTGGGAGTGAGTTAGGAAGAAGGGTTAACAGAATTAATAGTTAACAATATAAGGTAAAATGCTGTTATGTGCTGGTGAGTTGGAACCAACTCAGAGTTGATCGTCCTGGGATTTTCAGAGCCTATAAATCACACAAGAAGAGACACCCCATCTTCTTCCTGTGAAGTAGTTAGCTAGTGGACTTGAATGCTGTCTTTGTATTGGCAGCACAAATCCTTATCACCAGGCACATCAGAACTCTGTAAGGTAAGAGAGTCAAATAAGAAAATAAAACAAATAGCAGCAGATATACTGGTTTATCAATGAAGAAAGAGCCTGGAAAGAAATCAGTAAGTTGAGAAATAATTAAGATAAGACAGCATTATTACAATGCAATTGGTCAAATGACAGAAAAGAACACATAAAAAGTTAGTGAGAAGGATAAAGAGGAAAAACTAGGAGAAGTAACAATTGATTTATTAACAAGAATTTATTTACTACATAAAAGTATTCCAGGCACTGTGTACTAAGTCAGGATAAAGATAAAAAGCCCTTTATCAATCTGAATGGAGTATAAGCACAAATGTGAAAATAAGACAAAGCAAATATTAAATAAATAGAAATGGTAATTATTTTTAAAAAATGACTTGAAAAAAAGGCTGACGTGACAAGGAGTGAACACCACAGAAACAGGCTAAAGAAGGTATAAAACAATCTGGTCAGAGTTAATGGTAGAAACTGAGAATAGACTGTGGGAGAGACTAACTCCACTTGCCACAAATGATAGCTTTTTATCACCAAGTATAACTTAATTTGAACTCAATGAAACATAAAAGACCAAAGGCTCATCATCTTGTTCCAATGAGATGTATGACATTTCGTGCATGTGATGAAGAAAAGAGAAAATAATGGTTTATGATGAAACAAAGCAGCAAATGTTTGCTTCATATTTTTTTCCTAATTATTCATCTTTTGCTGCCTGGATAAGTATACTAGGAGAGTAAAATTTCTATTTGACTCCAAGCAAGCTCCTTTGTCAACAGAGAACTGCCAGATGTGCAGGCTGGATTTAGAAGAGGTTGTGGTACTAGGGATATTATAGCTTATGTTAGATGGATCTTGGCAGAAAGTAGAGAGTGCCAGAGGAATGTGTATCTGTGCGTCATAGACTATGCAAAGGCTTTTGACCATGTGGATCACAAACAGCTATGGCTAAGTTTGAGAAGAATGGGAATCCCAGAATATTTGATTGTGCTAATGTGAAACCTGTATTTGGACCAAGAGGCAGACGTCAGAACAGAGCAAGGAGACACTACATGGTTCAAAATCAAGAAGGGGGTCTGCCAGGGATGTATTCTGTCTCCGGACCTTTTCAATCTGTATGCAGACAGATCATCCGAGACTCTGGACTATACGAGGAGGAATGTGGCACCAGGATTGGTGGGAGAGTCATCAATAACCTGCGTGCGTTATGCAGATGACACAATCCTGCTTGCCGAAACTGAGAAATACTTGAAGCACTTGCTGCAGAAGGTCAGGAACTGCAGCCTTCAATACAGATTGAAGCTCTACATCAAGAAAACAAAGACTTTCAGCACTGGACCAATTGGCAGCATCAGTATGATGGTGAAGAGCTTGAGATAGTTAACGGTTTTAGTTTGCTTGGCTCTGCAATCAACACTCTTGGTACCAGCAGCCAGGAAATCAAGAGACAAATTGCATTGGGAAAGTCAGCTGTCAGGGACCTAACAAGAGTACTGAAGAGCAACGACGTAAGGCTGGAGACTAAGGTGCGCCTGATCTGGGCTATAGTCTTCACAATTACGTGCTATGCATCAGAGAGTAGGACAGTGAATAGGGATGATAGAAAGAGAATTCATGCCTTTGAATTCATGCTGTGGTGTTGGAGAAGAGTGTTGAATATACCATGGACTGCTAGGAGAACAAACAGGTTTGTCCTGGAAAGGGTGAAGCTAGACTGCTCTTTGGAGTCAAGGATTTTGAAGCTTCGTCTGACATACTTTGGGCATGTTGCAAGGAGGGACTGGTCCTTGGAGAGGGACATAATGTTTGGGAGAGTGGAGGGATGGTGCAGGAGATAAGATGGATCAATTCTGTGATTGGGGTGGAGGGAGGGAGTGTGTCGGAGACAAGTGAGTTGGCAGAGGATAGAGCAGGGTTTAGGGTTCTTGTATGTAGGGTTGCTATGAGTCGCAAGCGACTCGATGGCACATTAACAACAACAACAACAACAACAGGCATAAGTGAGCCAAAATGGATTGGTATTGGCCATTCTGAATTAATCATATGGCCGAACATTGTAGGAACCACAAATTGAAGAAGAATGGTGTTGCAATTACTCTATCCTGAAATACAATGTTGTCAGTGATAGGAGCCAATCCATAGACATACAAAGATCTGATAATCCAACTATTATTCATTACCCATCAATCCCTGTACCCAAAATAATTAAGGATTTTTACTAACTTCTGTAGTCTGAAATTAATAAATCATGCAATCAAGATTCATTACTAGTAACTAGTGTTTAGAATGCAAAAGCTGGAAACAAAGATGTACTGACCTTAAGAAAATATGCCTTTCATGATAGAAATAAGGCTAGAATTAACAGAATTTTGTGCTACCAATAATTTAATCATTACAAATACTCTTTTAAAACAACATAACCAATTACTATACATGGGCCTCAACCGATGTAATACTTAGGAATTAAGCTAACTACATCTATGATAAGAGATGGTAGAAAACTAACTACTACCAGTCAGAACAATGTCAGAGTCTGTGGAACAAATCATCACTTGCATATATGCAAGTCAAAACTGAAGCTTAAGAAAAGGAAAACAAGTCCAAGGCAGCGAAAATATGACATTGAATTTATCTTACCTGAATTTAAAAACCATCTCAAGAATAGATTTGATGTATTAAATACTAATGACTAAAGACCAAATATGTTGTGGGATGACATCAACGACACATGAAGAAATCAAGAGGTCATTACAAAGACAGGAAAAAAAGAAAAGACCAAAATGGATGCCAGAAGTGACTCTGAAACGTCTGTAAAACATAGAAAAGGTAAAGAAAAAGATAAAAATGATGCATTAAGAGAGCCGAACAAAAACTTTCAAAGAGCAGCTCAAGAAGACAAAGCAAAATCTTATAATGAAATGTGCAAATACCTGGAGTTAGAAAATGAAAAGAAAATAACAAACTGGGCATTTCTCATAAGAATGGAAAAACAAATTCAAGCTGAAAGTTTTAACACTGAAGGGTTCTCTGGGCAAAATACTGAATGATGCAGGAAGCATCAAAAGAAAACAGAAGAAACACACAGTCACTGTACCAAAAAGAACTGGCTGACGCTCAGTCATTTCACACGGTAGCATAAGATCAAGAACCAATGGTATTGAAAGAAGAAATCCAAGCTATAATGAAGGCTTTTTTTTTTTTTTAAATAAGGCTCCCGGGATTGGGATTGATAGAATACCAATTCAGGTGTTTCTATGAACAGATGCAATCTTGGTGGGACCATTTGTCTATGCCAACAAATTTGGAAAACTGCTACCTGGTTAAAGGAGTGGAAGAGATCCATATTTCTGCCCATTCCAAAAAAGGTGATCCATCAGAATGAAGAAATTATCAAACAGTATCATTAACATCACACACAAGTAAAATCTTGCTGAAGATAATTCAAAAACAGCTGGAGAAGTACATCAACAGGGAACTGCCAGAAATTCAAGCTGGATTCAGAAGAGGCCATGGTACGAGGGATGTCACTGCTGATGTCAGATGGATCGTGGCTGAAAACAGAGAACACCAGAGAGATGTTTACTTGTGTTTTATTGACTATGTAAATGCATTAGATTTTGTGGATCATAATACATTATGACTAACACTGAGAATTAGAATTTCCAAACAATTGTATTTTTGAAGAATCTGTATAGATTCAAACTGAACAAAGGGATATCACACCAATTTGAAGCAGTTGTTCAAAAAGAAGAAGTACTGCACAATTTAAAATTAGAAAAGGTGTATGTAAGGGTTGTATTGTTTCCTCATACTTATTTAATCTGCATACTAAGAAAATAAACCAAGAACTTTGACTATATAAAGAAGAATGTGGTATTAGGATTGGAAGATGATGCATTAATAACTTAAAGTACACTGATGTTATTACATTGTTGCTGAAACAGAAAAGAACCTGAAGTACTTTCTGAAGATCAAAGACAATAGCTTTTAGCATGGATTAAACTTAAAACAAACAAACAAACAAAACCACACAAAAAACCCCCAAATAACAAAACCAAAAACAACACAAAAATCCTCACAAATGGGACTAATCAGCAACATTATGATGAAGAAAGAGAAGACTGAAGTTGTCAAGGATTTTATTTAGATCCACATCAACACCTAGGGAAATGAGTTAAATCAAAGGACACAGAGAATTGGGCTAATATGCCATTCAAGATCTCTTTAAAGTGCTAAAAAACAAGAATGTCAATTTAATGAGTAAGGTTTACCTGATTCAAGCCCATGGTATTTTCAATTGCTTCATCTGCATGTGAAAATGTTGCACAATGTGTAAGGAAGAGAAAAGAAGAATTGACATCTTTGAATTGTGGTGTTGGAAAAGGATACTGTATGTGTCACCGAGTGCCAAAAGAGCAAATAAGTATGTCTTGGAAGAAGTGTAGATAGAGTGCTGCTAGAAGCAAGGATAATAATGAGATTTTGTCTTGAGCATGTTATCAGGAGAGGACAATCCTTGGAATAGGATATCATGCTTAGAAACCTTGAAGGTCCATGAAAGAGAGTAAGACTCTCAAGATGCAGTAACACAGTGACTGTAAAAATGAGTGTAAGCACAGCAGAAATTATGGGAATGAGGCACGACTGGGCAGGTTTAATTCTATTGTACATAGGATTGCTTAGCTAGAGCCCACATGATAGCACTTAGGATACATGATAAATTCAACAACACAAAGGTATACAAGGTTGTTGCTGACCAGGGGCAAAGTATTTTTATAAGTATTAATAATGAAACAGAACACCAGGAATGTAGGAGTAAAACAGAGGTAAAGCAGGAAGCAAACAGTTCTCGAACCACTGAAGGGAACTAGCTGCTGATTCCAGCTTTCCTGTCTTTATTGAAAATTGCCAGGAAGTAAATCGCCAAGAGAATCCAATACAGGTGAAGCTAAGCTTTCTCTATTGACAACCTTCTGCTTGACTCAGGAGGAAGGGGCAATGCAAAAATCCTGTAAATGCTTAAGGATTGCCTTAGTGCTTTAGGATTAATTCCAGCTGATATCAACCTCCCTTTTAACCTGAAGTAATATTCTGCTTATTACAAATACTTAATATAAAATTTGGCTTCCCATAGGGTCCCTGGTGGCCCACTGAGCAAGCACTCAGCTGCTAATCCAAGGGTTACTGGTTCAAAATTTGGCTTCCCATACAAGGTAGTATGCTTAATAAAAATGCATGCTTTCCTGAAGAGAAGACCCCTGAAATAACTATAGACTACCCGAGATTTGCCAGGTATGAGTTATTTAGGTAGTTTATGACTTCCAGTGGCATAGCCTATAGCTCTGCTAATCTAAAGGATGGAGGGATGATCTCCTGTGAAGGTTTATAGCTTCAGAAACCTGATAGAGGGCTGACAGGAGTCAGAATTGGCTTGATAGCACTGGGTCTCGGTCTCAAAGGAGAAGTCTAGAAATTTGGAGCTAAATAGAGAAGATAATGGTGACAATAGCAAAAATGCTTATACTTGTTATGTGTCAATCAATGTTCTACAGTGATTTCCAGATATTAACTCAGTTAAAAAGCTCAAAATAATTTGAAGAAGTGTTATTATCCTCTCTATTTTTTATAAAAGAAACTGAGGCACAAAAAGTCTAAATTGTTCACCCATGGTCATAAGATCAGCAAGTGGATAAGTCCTCATTTGGACCTAAGTAGTCAGGCACCTTATTACATCTTGGGATTTGTGAAGAGATTGAGATTGATAATAGCTTTAGTTTGCTTGGCTCCACAATCAACACTCTTGGTACCAGCAGCCAGGAAATCAAAAGACGAATCTCACTGGGAAAGTCTGTTGTCAGGAATCTCTACAGAGTACTGAAGAGCAATGATGTCAATCTGAAGACTAAGGTGTGCCTGATCCAGGCCATAGTCTTCACAATTACTTGGTATGCGTCAGAAAGCTGGACAATGACTAGGGAGGATAGAAAGAGATTGATGCCTTTGATCTGTGGTGCTGGAGAAGAGTACTGAATATACCTTGGACTGTTAGGAGACAAACAGGTTCATCCTAAAGAGGCTGAAACCAGGCTGCTCCTTAGAGGCAAGGATTCTGAAGCTTCATCTGACATACCTTGGGCATGTTGCAAGGAGGGCCCAGTCCTTGGAGAGGGATATCATGCTTGGGAGGGAGGAGGGACAGCGCAAAAGAGGAAGACCCTCGATGAGATGGATTGATTCAGTGATTGGGGTAATGGCGGTAGGTGTGTCAGAGACAATAAGTTTGGCACAGAATAAAGCAGGGTTTAGGGCTAGTATACATAGGGTTGCTATGAGTCACAAGCAACTCGACGGCATATAACAACAGTGGTAGCTGATGAAGTTAGCATAGATAAGGTCCCCCACGGAAAGGAAAGCATATGGGCTGATTTAAGTATGAAAATGCAAGCCGTAATACAAACAAGAGTTCCAAATATCCACAACTCTTACTTTTTCTCTTTGCTTCTGAGCCAGAACCACCTCATAGCTGACTCCCCACTGGGTTCCAAAGACTGTAAATCCCCCAGGAGACTGCTCATTTTGGGTGAAGTAACATTTAGAAAGAAAAAAAAATCATAGAAAAAAGTTATGGGGAGTGGTGGTGACAATACAAGGAGACAAATAAGAGATAAAAATGTAGAGCATGAATTAATGATTCTATTCTTAGAAAAACTTAACTATGCAGAATGAGTGGCACGGCATGAGAAGTACAATGGATTAGACCTTGATTCAAAGGCTCTCCCTCTCGCCTTCTTTCTTCACCAGTTGATATAGACATAAACACATCTATCATCACCATAAAGTCACAGAAGAGGAGAGACTGATGCAATGAAGAAAAGGAGGGCTGAGAGCTTAAGTGTCTTCCCAAAATATAGATCCACTTGGCTAGGCCAGAATTCTCAGCATCATTTAATTATTGTGTGGTGTAAACTAGATCCAGAAGACACACAGAGAAAGCCTTTTCCCAGGGCCAATACCCGGAATTAAGACTTCTAGTCTCCGAAATGGGAGCACTGGTGACCTGATGGCAAGAAGCAGTGCTGCAATCCTGAAGGCAGGCTGTTTGAATTTACCAGCTGCTCCACAGAAGAGAGAATGCATTTCTACTTTTTAAAGGCATCATCTTAGGACAGCTCTGTTACAGCAACACTCAATTACTACCACCATTAAGTTTCTGCTGAAATGAGAAGATGGTAGCAGGTTTACGTTTGCAAGCAAAGCAAAATACAGTTCATATTTAGTGGTCTCTCTGTTCTCTGTGAAACAGAAGTTGAATTCTACCATTGTATGACAGACCCCCTGTTTCTGGAATACCATCGTCACTGAAAGGAAAAGGGGCAGGAGCAAATCAAACACAAAAAATAAATCTGCTGAGAAACTAAACAGGGAAAAAACTAATTCATATATATATAGGAAGCATCAAGCCTCTTGATTATAGAATTTCTCCTACAACTCAGATAGGGAAGAGGAAAGGCAGATTTTACGAAGGAAACAGGATTTGAAGTTTGCAGAGCAGGTATACTACTGACATGACAATGTGGCATGAGTGCATGATCGGTAGAGACTGATTTATTTATAGTTCTATGGGTTATATAATAAGGAGGTCCAGCCGGGAGGGAACTGATAGTCTGTGGGAGTTAAGGGGTGGGAGGAACAACTGAGAAATCAAAAGATTGGAAAAATTAATAAGAATGAATAGAAGATTAGTTATAGGAAGTTCCACAAAAGCAGACAGAATATTTGTTCTAGTCACCCCTTTGTAGTCAATAAACATCAATTGCCTAAATAACTAATCAGAATATAGATAACCGGGTTTAACATTTGTACGTTATAGCAAAATTGAGAGTATGATCCTATGTGTGATAAAACTGGAAAGCAAACACCTCAAAGTTGATCTGGTTAATGTACACAAAAATAAATCTCTATTAATGTGCTGACATTTTTAACAGTGTATATATGTCATAATATAAATATTATAAAGTTAGTATAAACATAGTATGAACGTTATAAAGGGGACATGACCATAAAATGTGTGATCAAATTTACATGTGGGAAGTGAAGAAGCAGACAGAGGACAGTGAAAAGGAATTGAGTGGGTAAAGCCAGATTGCTGAGATCTTGGACACATTGGTTTGACTGCTTCGGGACTTGCACTGAAAAGAAGGAAAGGAGGAAAGGTGTGGGAGAGCAAGTAGCCCCCATCTGAAGGGCTGTCAGAGAAGTAGTGTCCTTGAGAACGTGCCAGGTTTCGGTTCAACTCAGGAGGAACATTATGTGAAGAGGAACAGGGGCTCCAGAAGGCAGAGTAAAAGGGGTGGGAGGAAAGTGGTGGGAGAATGAGCCAGGAAAGAACGTACAGAGCAACACGGAAATAAGATTATGAGACAGGCGGCCAGAAAGGCTGGCATTTTGGTCACTGCAAGGACACTAAGGATGAGAGTCACAGAACAATAATGGGCTTGTAGGTTTGGGGCAGAACTTGGGAATAAAGCCATTTTGCTAGTGGCACTTGTGCTTTCAGAGTCTGATTTCCAGTGGTCCTTCAGAGAGTTTAATTAGAGAAATAAGATTCTTACCCAGAGACACCAGGTTCCCATAATTCTCCATCATGACATCTTTATATAGGCTTCTCTGAGCTGGGTCCAGATAATCCCACTCCTCCTGGGTAAAAAACACAGCCACATCCTCAAAAGTCAGCAACCCCTGAAATAGTACGATTTCTGTCATCAGTTCCTGTTGCCTCAAGGACAATTCCACAACTAGAAGTGGCAGAAGCAATCACTTATCAGCACTCAGTAGCCTTGAATGCAGTAACTTGGAGAGTTCCTTCCTGATGAGGACCAATTCTGAGAAGAGGCTGTAACAGGCAGGTTCCTCAGACTAGGTGGGGTAAATGAGCTAGATCCCTGTCCTCCTTGGCTTCAGGCCTACTAATAAAGCATCGCTGGTTTAATAACTGTGCCCTAATAATTTTAGTAAGTTATACTCCAAGGCCTCTCCCAGCTTCTTTCACTTTATTGCTCTGCTGTTCTCTGACTGCACTCGCTAGTGACCCTGCTCAATTCAGTTCCACCAGTTTCTCTAGGCATCTACGTTTGGTCCAGGCAGTGTCTGGCACGAAGATACAAGGGAGGGACAGAAGGCACAGATAAGAGCTTCATCTGGAGGAACTCGTAAGTGAAAGCTCGCCCTGGAGCACTACAAATTCTCTCCAGCTGATTCATCAAGTCGCGGTGGTAGGGCAAAAAAGGGTGTCCGTGGGCCGTACGGTCGCGACCCCACCCCAAAGCACTAGGGGGCAGCTCCCTGCAGGTACTGACCCTAAAGAACGCCGTGGGGGTGGCCCCGTGGCGCGGCCTAGCTCAGGTAATGGAGAACCGCGCGCTACAGGCAGGCGACTCACCTTCAGCTCAGGCTCGGGGCTCGAAGTGGCCATCACTGACCAGACAACTGGACAGGAACCTGCAGCAGCTGCACGGAAGGAAGCCTCTGGCAAGGCCTACTTGACCACTGGAGATTTAGACCCGACGGAGACGAGGTCTCCTGGCTGGGTCCGGCCAGGTCTCACCTCGGTTCCCGGGAGCTCACGACCCCAACACCATATCTGATGCGCTCCAAGGCCAGCTCCTAGGTTTCAGCCCCTACCGCTGCCAACGTGCGCAGCCTTGCAGGCCTCTCTAAAGCCTCCTCCCAGCTGCTAGGACCTCCTCCTTCCAGCCTATGGAGAGCTGTGACCACCCGCCCCCGGACCAGAAGGCGTCACCCAGAATCTTCCCGGGACGCACCCCTCAACTTCAATTCCCGTCATGCTCTGAGAGAGCGCCACGGTCCAGGACTACATTTCCCGGCATGCAAAGGAAGAGGACGAAGCCGGCGAGCCCCAACAGGAGGAAGTGACGTCATCTACAAAGCTTACACCCCACTGGCTGGTCTGGCGGCGTCTATGCTGACGGAGGCTGAACTCCCGCCCTCGGGTCTCCGCGGAAATGGCGGCCCTCGGCATGTTACGTGTTACCGGGAGAGGCCTCTCGCGGCTAGTCTCTGGGGTGCCACGCCGGGAATTTTGGTCTCGATCCAGGTAAAGCCGAAGGTTCGAGGGTGGTTCACTTTGATGGACAGTAAAGAGAGAAGTGACGAGCATTCTGAAGGAGGCATCATGTTAACGGGACTGGATTGAATAGCTTGAAAGTTTCTTGGGAAGCAGGAGGGGAAATGTTCAGAAGGGAGCGTTATGCCTGAGGTGCCTGAATTCACAAGCTTCCGCAGGGCTTGCCACGGGAGTGGGACGCAGGCACTTCTCCTGGCCTCAGTTACAACAGAAATATTGCTCCTCCTCCAGTGCACTCAGTAATGTATTAAGCAGACTCTGTTACTTATCAGGTGCCAGGTGAAGTGTCAGGAAACAAATAACTCGGCTCAGATGATCATCGTGGGTCTGGAATGTGCAGCAGCTTGGGTCAGGCTGACCTTAGTCCTCGAAGTAACGTCCTTGCTCTTTGGCACATAAGAGCTTTATTCTAGGTTGCAGTTTAAGCGCCTAGTGATACAGTAGTGAATAAGCTAAAGTTCAGAGCTTTTGTCCTCATGAAGGGTATGTTGCAATGAAAGAAAGAAAGATGTAAAATAGAATATTTTGTTGTTATGTACTGTCGAGTCGAGCCATAGCTGACCTTCCAGTGCGTTTTCAGAGACAGTACATTTCATGGGAGGAGTTTGCTCATTTTTGTCTTTTGTTGCTGCTGGTGGATTTGAACCACCTGCCTTTGGATTGGGAGCACAACCCCTTACCACTAGGCCACCAGAGTTTCCTATTTTAGGAAGAATTAAGTACAGCAGAATAAGTTTATTAGTGAGATAAAAGGAATAAACTACATTAAAAAGGGGTTTTTTTATAAACTACATTTTAACTAGTCATGAGATGAGACTAGTTTGAAGAGAATAGAGGTGAGGAGACATCTTGTTTAAGAAACTGTTTTGAGGGATGAGACCATGTAGTCTAGGAAGAATTTTTTTCCCCCCTTAAAGATAGAAGATAATAGAGGATTGTTTGACTGTGGGGATATGCTAGTAAAGGTGGAGGAAGCAATATGAAATTTGTATATAAAGAGGAATTAACTGCTGGAAGAAAGTCCTTGAATAGTCAGAGGGGAGTAGCATTAACAACCATTTCTTGACAGGAATAGAAGTTTTCAGTTTCGGTTATGTGCTGTCTAGTTGTCTCTGACATAGTTTGTTAATGACCCACACAGTTAAATGCCTTTGCACAGTCATTAATATTATTGCTAGCTTTTATTTTCTCTCCATGTCAGTTTGAACTATACACAGCCTTGGTCCAGAGACCCTGTAATAATTCTGTTCTCCAGGAATCAGAATGGTAGTTAAGTGTGCATATTTATGTGTTTTATTTTGATTGGTGGGTAAGACTGGGTCAGGTGTTTGTCACTAATGCAGTGAACTAAAGACTCACATAACATGCATTTGATGATTCCAGAAATGAGAAAGAGCCGGTGGTGGCTGAGCTGGTAGAGGAGGTGAAGAAGGAACCCGTCCTGGTGTGTCCACCATTACGAAGCAGAAGGTATGTGCCACCTGATGATCTGCAGAGTCATCTGGAATCTCGAGTCAAGGAAGTTTTTGGCCCATCTGTTCCTCGGGATTGGCAGGACATCTCCTTGGAAGACGGTCATCTGAAGTTTAGTCTCCTGGCACAGCTAGCTGATGACCTGGGCCACGCAGTGCCTAACTCAAGGCTTCATCAGATATGCACAGTCAGAGACGTGCTTGATTTCTACAGTGTCCCTGTTAAGGATCAGTCTAAATTTGATGAACTTATTGTCAATAATCTGCCTCCCAATTTGAAAATCACTTGGAATTACTGAGCAGTTCAGAAGAGGAACATAATAAAATCTCATTTCATCTTGCGAAGACTTGTTAATATTTTACTGTGTGAGATAATAATAATCGGTTATTAACAATGTATTTTTTTCTCTTCTGCTTCCAGATTCAACTCTATTAACTAAGACAGCCATTAAAATTCAGATATGGCCTTTATACTTGTAGGCATGAAATAGTTGCTGGAAAAAAAATGTTTAATCCTGTTCAAACTCTTAAATCTAAGAAACAGATAAGTTATTAATAAAAGAAATATAAAAGGCTGATTTGCTTATTATAGGTAACTGCTTTCTTTAGCAAAAGTAGAAAGAAGTGCATTCTGTATTCATCTCTCTTGGAATTAGAGTTTGTGAAGTGTGTTTTAAAAAATTTGAGGGTGAAATTTGACAGAACGTCTTAGAAGATGGTCATCTGAGGTATAATCTCTTGACACACTTAACTGATGGTGACTTGTGCCTAACTCAGAATTTCATCAAATGTGCAGTCAGAGATATTCTTTATTTCTTCAATATTTAAAGTAGGTCTATATCAGAAGACCTTATTTTTAGTAATCTGCCTCCCAGTTTGGAAAGTGGGTTCCTGGGCAGTTTAGAAAAGAAGCATTGATGTCTTCTTCCCCCTTTCCAAGCAAGGTAATGCCTTAAGTGTGAAAACTTTGAAAAAGTTGTCATAAGTGTTAAGTACTCACTGCTGCCATTTATTTTTTTTCTACTCATCAATATGTTGTGTGCTGTCGAGTCAGAACCGACCCATAGGTGACCCTCCAGCCAGTTTTCAGAGGCAGTTAATTTCAGGAGAAGAGCTTGCCTATCCCCTGAGTATTCTGGTATTTCCCAGGGAGCAGCTGGTGGATTTGAACCGCGTACCTTGGGGATTGCAGCACAACTTATACCAGATTTTAATAAATAACTTTCCCTCCACCACAAAGGAAGTAATGCTTATTTTAAGCCCTTTATGAGTTCTGAAATTTAGTACCAGTGACAAATATGAGTAACTAATAGGGTCACTGCACTTGGATGTACTTAGTTGTGCAGAGTTCTCATGTATTAAGATATCAGATGGTTCTGAGTGGGAAAAGTTATGATTAGGAATTTTCTGTGGTCAAACTGAGATAGGGAAGGAATTGCTTAAATTATTTTGTTTCATCCAAGAATTCTGAAAGAACACAAATTTTAAATAACAGACATTATTCTCTTCCCCAAGGTGACTCCCGAAGAGGCGGAAATTAAAATAGAAATGTTAGTTCTGGCCTTTTTGTTAGAAAAATCAGGCTATCATTAGGCCCTGAAATATCTTCAGCTAAGTCAAATTTTCAAGATTGTAAGTCAAACGGGAGGAGGTGAGATTGGCTGTTAGAGCTTTAAAGCATGACTCCCTCTGGATGTGCCTTAGATTTATATTTAGAAAGGTGGCGCTTAAACAGAGTTGTCATAATTATATGCCTTCAGTTTCTACTACAAAATGGGGCTCAGTGTGAAAACACTTGAATTTTACATACAACATTTGGTTAATTCATTTCCCATATTACCTGCAGACAGAAAAGACTACCATGGGTAAAATGGAAATGAGGGATGAGTTAGTCCAAGCAGAAGACTTGGCTACCGCTGGAGAAGTTCGGCAAAAATCAGGCTGCTTGTTCAGGCAGAAGAAATGACTTCTTTGTAAGCAGTGCTATCTTAGAGCAGTGGTTTTCAGGATCTAGTGTGTACATCAATAATTTGAGTCTTTTGAAGTGTAGATTTTAGTTTAATAGGAGTGGAATGGATTGTGAGCATATTTCAAATAAACTTTCAGTTGATGTTCCCAGGAACTGTACTTGAGCGTGTTAGCAGGGACCAGTCCTTGGAGAAAGACATCCTTGAATAAGGAAAGGGTCAGCAAAGGAGAAGACCCTCAATGAGATGAATTGACACAGTAACTGTAACAATCGGCTCTAGTGTGGCAGAGCTGAGGATGGCACAGGATAGGGCAGGTTTCAGATGTGGTGTTTGTAGGATTGCAGTGAATCATACGCAACTCGATGGCACCCAACAACATGGTCCTAGGTTGCTGCTAGGGTTGAGGGGAGAGAGCAGGATCACTACCTGAGACTACAGCCCTTATAAATTTATCTACAAGTTAACTGCATTTTTGTCAGTAACTTTGGAGGGCATTGCTGGTTTATAGTTGGGTGCAATGAATGTATCAGAATGACCTTTATTTTTCCTGAATAGATTTAATGTGGTTTGCTGATTTGTTTATTGTAATAACCAAGTATGCAATTTGAGAAAGACTGGAATGATGGGGGGTGGGGTGGGAAATAATCCCTAAATAATGAATACGAAAGCTCTGTTGGCTTAATGATAAGGAGTTGGGCTGCCAGCCCAAAGGCTTAAGGTTCAAATCCACCAGCTACTTTGTGGGAGGAAGATAGTCTTCTGTGTGATTTACTGCCTCTGAAAACCCACTGGAGGGTCAGCTGTGAGTCAGTTCTGACTCCACAGTACATAACAGCAGCAGCATATAACTAACTAGTAAGGGGCCCTGGAGATAACAGTGAGTAATGGGTTGCTAACCAACAGGTTAACCAACCACTAACACCACACTCCACCTTGGTAGAAAGATGGTCAGACGCCTCCAGTAAAAACTCAGCCACAGAATACTGATGAGTTGTTGGGAGTTGGACTCTAAGTGAGTTTAGGATTTTTTTTCCTTTTTTAAATATATATGATTTCAACGCAGTTTTACTTATCTGGATCATCTTAAAGGTCAGTAAACAGAGTTGTATAAAACTTGCTTATAAAACAGTGAAGGCCAATAAAAATGAGTATGTTTTAAGCAGTATAAAACAAGGCTTCAAACTTTTCCACTCCTGTACAACCGCTTGCTGAGAATTTAGAGTTCCACCTCTGGTGGTCTAGTGGCAAGAAGCTGTTCTGCAATCCCGAAGGCACATGGTTCGAATCCACTGTCAGCCCTGTGGGAGAAGGATGGGCAGTCTCCTCTTCTGAGATTAACAGTCTCTGAAAACCCACTGGAGGGTCAGCTATGGGTTGGTTTCAACTCAACAATACACAACAACCTCCATCCCCCCAGGTATATGGAATCAAAATCAACAGGTTAACAAGGTCAACAATTCTTATAGAACCCTTTAGACACATAAAAATCACCTGGGAATTGTGTTAAGATTTAGATTTTGTTATTCCTGGAGTGTGAATCACCATCTAGTTGGAACCTACCAATACTTGACCCTCCAGTGGGTTTTCAGAGGTAGTAGATTGCATGGGAGGAGATTGCCCATCTTTGTCATGTTGAGAGAATTTTGGATTGTGTGTTGTGGAGTCAGAATCGACTTAAACCTGACTTTGCAGGGGTTTTCACAAGCGGTTAATCACTCTAGAGGATATTGCCTGCTTTGAACTGCATGAGTGGAGATCCAGGTTCAAGGTTTGGCTCTGCTATTGCCTCCCTGCATGACTTGGCAGTACCCTGACCTCAGTGGGCATTTCTTTCTCTGTCAGATGTAGAAGAACCTGGGGTAGAAAGGCAACTCAGCAGAGTTTGAGCCAGAATGAAGCAGTTCAAAGCCCTGATATGAAAAAAAACCTGCCCGCCCTTCTACCCTCCCTTGTGCTCATATATTATACTGCAACATATCATTGGGGTTGTTACGTGCCATCAAGTCAACTGACTCATAGTGACCCCATGCCCAATAGATGTGACTTAAAGGTACCATGGTTTGGGTTGCCTTCATCAAAGCGCTATCCTTTCTCTTTAGCACTTTAAAAAGGTTCTTTATTGCATATATCCCCAAGGAATATGTCATTTGATTTCTTTTCCCTAAGGGGTCTCTCCCTGGTGTTACAGTGAGAGACATGCTCACTTTATAAGCACGTCTCTTGTTTCCCTGAACATGGAGTCACAGGCAAGTTTAGTTCTATGCTCAAAGGGTCAGTAATAGCCTGGGGTCCTAATAGTCTCTCCTGGGCCAGGAAGCTTGGTCATTCTTGTCATTATGAGTTTTGTTCCACATTTCCCTTCTGTTTTGTCTGAGACCCTCTTAAAACAGTAAAGCCAATTCCATGAAGGTTGATAATTGCGCCAAGTAAAAAGAAATTCTTGACCACTTTAACCTTTTCCTCATTTATCATAATATTACTTACTGGTCCAGCTGTGAGGATTTCTATTTTTTTAAATACTGAGTTATAATTCATAGTGAAGTTTATAGATTTTCATGTTTATCTGTAAGTAAAGACAAGCCCACTTCACTTTCAGCAACAACATTGTGTCATCTCTCTACCACATATTCTTAATAAGCCTCTCCAAATAATTGAGGAGTAATGATGACAGTTTGAGGACTAAAGTGTGTCTGATTCAGGTCTTTCTGATTAATAGCTATGCATCTGAGAGCTGGACAGTGAATAAGGATGACAGGAGAAGAATTGATGTCTAAGTTGTGGTGTTGGAGAAGAGCACTTAATATCCCATGGACAGCCAAGCGAATGAACAGTCCATGGCGTGTTCAGTGCTCTACTCTAGAGCCACAACTCAAAGACATCAATTCTTCTGTCATCCTTGGCCATTGTCCAGGCCTCTGTTGCCTAGCAGTGCCAAGAGCTGGAAGCAGGAGCGGCATCCACTTCCGAAATGGCTTGCCTCCGGAAACTGTATGTACGAATAGTGCTCAGGCTGTTCGCTCATAGGGTCGCTATGAGTCGTCTACGACTTGACGGCATCAAACAACAACAACAATCCTGACATGACATTTTTCTTCATTTAGTCCAGGTTTCAGATTAATTGCTTAACACACAGATTGAATAAGGCTGTTTGAAGGAAACAGGCTTGACACACAGATTGATGTCATGCTCTCTTGTTTTATTTGGGGCAATAGGGGTTGGTGTGTCAGAATTAGTGAGACTGGCTCAGGACAGGGCAGGGTTCAGAGGTGCTGTACATAGGGTCACTATGGGTCGCAGGTGACTCAATGGCACATAACAGCAATAATAATTTCTTGGTCAACAAGTTCCTTAGGAACACAAGTGTTCTGGAATTCTAGTTCTGTTTTCATATATTATTTGCATTCAAATATATAACAAAATTAAAAACACTATTGGAAAAAGAACAAGTTTCAAGAAATCTACAAAAATGAAAAAGCTGTTATATTTTATTGCTATTTTAGCTAAGAGTTACTCTCAAATTGTTGAATTCCTAGAACTTTTTTCTAGATTAGCTGTAAATCAGCCCTGGTAAAGCAGATGAACTGAAAGCAAACAATTTACAATATTCTTATTTTAGCTCTATTACTGCAGACATTACAATTGGAGATTAGGATCTTTAGGGGAAACCTGGAAAGAATGAAGTTAATAATTGATTATTGGAAAGAAAAACAACAAAAAATTGGGCAGTCTTTTTGTGTAATCAATAACTTTCTAAAGTTATTAGAACTAAATAGAGGTACTTTCATCAAACATTGAATCCTAGCACCTCAGAGACAGACACTGATTATTTCAGCGTCTGAAGCAGTAGCACTATTTTGACGAGAGTTTAGGTGGTTATGTGCTGTTGAGTCACTTGAGACTTCTAGCGATCCTGTGTACAACAACTCTTAAACCCTGCTCTGTCCTGAGCCAACCTCATCATTTCTGACATACCCATCCTAATTACCTCAGTCACTGAGTCATTCCATCTCATCCAGGCTCATCCTCTCTTGCCCTGTCCCTCTGCCCTTCAAAGCATGATACTCCTCTCCTAGGACTTTTCCCACTTGGCAACATGCCCAAAGTATGTTATACAGTTTCAAAACCTTGCCCCCAGAGAACAGCCTGATTTCACCCTCTCCATAACCGACCTGTTTGTTTTCCTGGTACTCTATGGTATATTCAGTACTCTTCTCCAGCACTACAAATCAAAGTCATTGATTCTTCTATCTCATTGTATAGCTCTCTGATGCATAGCACATGATTGTGAAGACTGGCCTGGTTCAAGCATACCTTATTCTCTAAACTGACACCATTTCTCTTCAGTACTCTGGAGAGGTCCCTGATAGCAGATTTTCTCAGTGTGATTTGTCTTTTGATTTCCTGGCTGCTGGAACCAAGAGTGTTGCTTGTGAAGCCAAGCAAGCTGAAACTGTTAATAGTCTCTTCACTATCTTATCATAATGCTGCCAATTGGTGAGAATCTTTGTTTTCTTGATGTTGAGCTTCAATCTGTATTGAAGGCTGCAGTCCTTAACCTTCTGCAGCAAATGCCTTAGATGCTCCTCAGTTTTGGCAAGCAAGGTTGTGTCATCTGCATAAGGCAAGTTGTTGATGAGTCTTCAATCCTGATGCCACATTCCTCCTCATAGAGCCAAGCCTCCCAGAAAATCTGTTATGTCAGGCTGCATCACTAGCATACACTTTTTCCTGATTTTTATCCTTGCTCTATTCTGATAACTCTTCTGGTCCAAAGGTTTCGCATGAGATAGTCAAGTGTTCTAGGATTCCCATTCTTTTCAAAGTTAGCCACAGTTTGCTGTGATCCACACAGTCATATGCTTTTGCATAGTCAATGAAATACAGACATTCCTCTAGTACTCTGTGCTTTCAGGTAAGATCTATGTAACATTGGCTATAATATCCCTAGTGCCACAGCCTCTTCTAAACCCATCATGCACATCTGGCATTTCTCACCTGATGTGCATTTCCAGTCATTTTTGGCCAATTTTCAGTTGGATCTTGCTTGCATGTGGTATTAATTATATTGTTTGATAATTTCTACACTCTGTTAGGTCACCTTTTTTTTTTTTGAATGGTCATAAATATTGATCTCTTCCAGTCAGTTGGTCAAGTGGTTGTCCTCCAGATTTCTAGGCACAATATGGTGAGAGCATCTCAATGGGTTTTACTATGATATTCCTCTTCACATAGCCCATCTCTTGGATTAGTGCTCATCGTACAAATAAGTACAATTTAAGGGCACAGTCCTGGAGCACAGCCTTCCTGATTTAAGACCATGCAGATTTCCCTTGTTCTGTTCAAGTTACTGCTTCTTAGTCTTTGTATAGTTTCCTCATGAGCACAATTAAATTTTCTTAAATTCCCATTTTATGTACTTAGGTATTATTTTCCCAGGAGAAGGATGAGCATTCTCCTCCCGTGTGATTAACTGCTTCTGAAAATCCATCGGAGGGTCAGGTATGGTTTGGTTCTGACTTGACAGTACACAACAACAACATAGATTATTTTCATTCAAATCCCTAAAGGATAAAAAACAACAATGACAAAAAAAAAAAAAAAGCCCACTACTGGAAAAACAGCAAAATCTGGATAAATCTTTACGAGGATAAAACTATAATACAATACGCTGTTATCTTAGAGTGAGGACCGAAATGTTGAGTCCTTGGTGCTAGTCCAGTGGCTTAGCTGCAAATCAATCCTGGTCGCATGGACACAGCGGGTGAAGACTATCCACAGTATTCTTAGTTTAGCTCTCTTAGACTGCAGAGGGCACGTTTAGAGGTTAGGCTTTTCAGAGGCGCCAGGAAAAGAGTGAAGTTAATCATTTATTATTGTAAAGACAAAGTCAATATTAAAGAGATTAGTACTTTTTTATGTAATCATTACTGTTTAAATTACAGAACTAAATAGAGGTAATTTCTCCAGACCTTGAATCTTAGCGGCTCAAGAAGACAGATACTGTTTTCATTTCAGCGTCTGAGGCAGCAGTGGTGTCTTGACAAGCGCTCAGGTATGTGTTTGTACTTTTAGGAACATTTGTTTTTTCAGGTAGGGCTTCTAATTATGGCTATTTAGAGACTGGAATGGAACATACTTGATTTTTTTTTACACCCAATAATAAAGTCTTTCTTTTTTAGGAATGCATATGAATTAATTCCTTTTGAATGAGGCAATTTTATGTCATCATTAAGAGACATATATACTCTGCAATGATAATGATACTCAAAATAATTAATACCCACTTCACTTTCAAGGTGGAGTTAAGTTTTTAAGAAGTAATCTGCTTAAGTCATAGAAACTCTGCCATCATCTCAGTCTGTGATGTGTTCCCTGGTTCTTCGTGTTCTCATTCCTCTCCCTAGCCAAGCATGATCAGTAGATTTACTGGAAAGTACCCCTACAGTAGTAATAGATTTAGATTTATTCTACCCATAGAAAGATGCATATTTAAGATGTATTTTTTTTTAACTTTTAGCAGTGACCACAGCAGTTATCAAAGGAATGACAAATTTATCTACACAAGTGAATGAATAAAGGTTTAAAATTTTAGCATACACATTTAAGTTTCCAATTTATCTCAAAATCGAGTTCTTTCACATAGGTAATGCTTTATACTAATCTGTATGCTCAAAAGTTTTTCATGTACACAAAAATAAAGTAGTACCTTGAATCTGAGTGTATTTCTATGCATCCTCAGAACTGCTAATTCACTGCAGTTTAGACTGCTAATTAACTGTCCTATCTGATTCTTTAAACAACATGGGGATTCCCAACCAGCTATCAAAGGACATAGCTTTGCTTTAGGAGAACAGAGAAATGTTATTGAGGGAGGAAAAACAAATGTTCTATCCCACTACCCACTCTAATATTTTGGCGTCCCATAGAAATGGATAAATTTCCAACAATATGACTTGGAAAAAAAGACATTCATTTTTTTAAATGATAAAATGTTAAACAGGAAATAGAATTAGTCTCCATTATAATGGGTAATAATAAATCTGCAATCTTTATTTTCTTTAAAAGAGGATTATGTGATAACCTGACAAAAATCTCAGTAGAACTACTCTTCTGTGAAAACGTTTTGAGTAAAATGTTCGCAACTTCCAAAGACATACAATTTAGGAACTTTGTTTTTGTTGGTAGTTATTGTAAATCCTATTCTGACTCACAGACTGTATAGAGTGGAACTTCCAATTACTACCTTTTAGGAACTGAAATGAAACATCTGATTCCTTACAGGAAGTAGAGATTCACAACCAGAAAGCAATAGGCCTAGCTGTGCTTCAGGACGAAAGAGAAAACTTTGTTTAAAAAGAAAAAAAAATTTGATTCCACTATGCCATCCTAATATTTTAACCTTTCTTTCATGACTTTTTTTATAAAGTGCAAAAATCTCTTTGTTTCTTGAAAGGCAATGTCAAGGGAATTTCAAACCTTGCAGGGAGTTTGCTATTTAAATAAATGATCGGGATAGAATGAGATCCTGCTTATTTGAATGGAATTTATGTAGACAAATCCTGATGAAGCTGGGGGTATTGAATCCCCAGGTATCTTAAATCCAGGTAGGTATCTACTGACCAGGTAGGTCAGTAGGTATCTCCTGACTTTTTGTCTGTAGAAGCAGTTTTCACCCTTATTTGCCTTAGCGGATTAATGCAGCTTTTCTTGAAGAACTTCTGAGAGTCTCCTTGAGCTGGTTGTCTTGCAAGATACTGCTGATGTCCCTCAAGACCTATCTCCACTATCCATCTTTGTTTCTATACTGAAATTATAGTAGGCTGCAGATGATTAAGTATAAAGGATGACCTCGGAAGAGGAGGATGATAATAATCAAGTGGATTGGGTCAGCTGTCCCATAAAGGAAGTGTTTGTACACTATTCATAAATGTTACTATCCGCTGTTTCTTTAATCCTGGTTCACCATGATTCTAAAACTTATCTACTAGTGGTATATCTGCTAGTCAATCTATTGAAAGCTCTCAAGTGTCTTGCATAGATCGTTACAACACTAAGTAACTAGAATGTCAGGTCTGCATTTAAGGAACCTGACTTCCAGTCAATGTTCTCTTTAGTTAACCTTACCACCACCTTACTTCTTCTTTATTTCTTTCTGTTTTGAGATTTTACTGAAGGTATTCCTGAAGAATCATCCAGAGTGCCATTGTGTCACAATGATCCAACTGACAGCTTCTCCTACAAGTGCCCTTGTTGATGAACCAATTCATATCCGAGCTACAGGACTGAATCCTTTTCAAGTTGTAGTTTTTGTGGCATCAATGAAAAATGAAAAGGGAAACTTGTTCGTTTCTCAGGCGTTCTATAGGGCCAACGAGGTTGGTGAGGTGGATCTGGAGCACGCTTCTGCTCTCGGTGGCGACTATGTTGGGGTGCATCCCATGGGTCTCTTCTGGTCTATGAAACCTGAGAAGATGTTAACTAGAAATATCAAAAGAAGAGTGATGAACAGCCCCGATCTGGTTGAGTTGAAACTTTATGACTTAAATAAAAGCAGTTTCCCTTTCGCCAAGAGTAAAGATATTCCAAAGGCAAGCCTGACTGTGGAGAGGTGGTATGTGGCACCCGGTGTCACAAGGACCCAGGTCAGAGATGGTCGCATTCGGGGAGCCCTCTTTATCCCTCCAGGTGGGTAGAATTACTCTAGCTACTGTCATCATTTATTTTCCCATTTTGAATGTCTTATTTTAGAAGTTTACCTTGGATGGAGAAAATACATAAAGAAACACTTAGACTAATGGTTATAGATAGAGTACCTGACTTAGACGAAGGATTAACTTTGAATAATAATAAGAGTGCAACAATACCTCATTCACATTCAAGTTTCATCTTACCAATTCTTCAGCTTGTGTTAAGATAAAACACCAAGTAGTTTTTGAAGTCCCTGACTGTACATTTTTATATCTTTGGATTTATGAGCAATCTGATTGCATTATCTATCTGAAAAAGGTCTATTTATCAAGGAATCATACCCTTGTTCCTTTGGGAAACTTGTTATATCTAAGATGCAATTTAGGCATCGGTCATTGTATAGTTGCCACAGTAAGTTCGTCATATGACTGTTAGAAAGATTGCAACAAAGATAGGTGACAAATAGAAATTTTATACTCTTTGTTCTATCAATATTAACATATTTCTAGAATGTTGCATAAATTAGCAGGCACATAACCCAATTTTTAGTGGCTCCAAGACTTATCAGAGGATTCATACCAATAATGCAAAAGATCTGGGAGCACATTCCTCTGAATTTGTTATAGAACTGAATACAGCAAAGTCACCATCCCAAAGCACCCTCAGGAGGTCCAGGCTTCAGGTCTATTTCTTTAAAATTTTAATCTGAGACATAATCATCACCTTATTAGAATGTCATCCACTAGTAGAAAGGAGATGAATAAAAAAAAACCCTGAGGTGTTTTTATGTGTGTGTGGTTTGTTGTTTTGTTTTTTTTTATGGCTCATGACAAGAAGTAATTATGGAAAGCATAGGAGTAAAGGCTTCCTTTTTAAAATTCACCACATTGGCAGCATCATGGTAGACGATGAAGAAGAGATTGAGATTGCTAACAGCTTTAGTTTGCTTGGCTCCACAATCAACACTCTTGGTACCAGCAGCCAGGAAATCAAAAGATAAATCGCATTGGGAAAGTCTGTTGTCAGGGATCTCTCCAGAATACTGAAAAGCAATGAGAATGAGTCTGGAGAATAAGGTACACCTGATCCAGGCTCTAGACTTCTCAATTACTTGCTAGGAGTCAGAAAGCTGGACACTGACTAGAGATGATAGAAAGAGAATTGATGCCTTTGAGCTGTGGTTCTGGAGAAGAGTATTGAATATACCGTGGACTGCTAGGAGAACAAACAGATTTCCTGGAGAGGGTGAAACCAGGATGCTCCTTGGAGGCAAGGATTCTGAAACTTCATCTGACATACTTTGGACATGTTGCAATGAGGGAACAGTCCTTGGAGAAGGATATCATGATTGGGAAGGTGGAGGGACAGCGCAGGAGAGGAAGACCCTCGAGATGTATAGATTCAATGACTGGAGTATTGGGGGGGTGTGTGTTAGAGACAAAAAGGTTGGTTCAGGTTAGAGCAGGTTCAAAGCTGTTGTACATAGGGTCACTATGAGTCACAGGCGATTTGGTGGCACACACCACCACCACCACCACCACCACCACAATACGGATGAATCTGGATGGGCTTTTTTTTGTTTGGTTGTTGTTTTGTTTTGCATTTTTGAGTTGTTTCCTTTAACATACAGCAATCAATATACAAACATTTTATTGTGTGTGGGGTATAGGAAGTTACTGACACATCCTGCTGTGACTCTATCCCAATCAAAATTCTAAATATCAATGCGGTACTTCCACCTTGTGCTGATGTGCTGGTTTAGAGCATACTGTTAGGAATGCTCATGGACTTTGTGGTTGATCTCCTGAGGGAGGCTCTTGTTCAGTGGGAGACAAGAAAAGGGTTGAGTGTATGAAGCCATGAAATAGTTCAGTCAAGTCTTAACATAAGAGTCTCAATGCTGGGGAGCTCTGGTGGCCTAGTGGCAAGAAGCTGCACTGCAATCCCAGAGGTGCACAGTTCGAATCCACCAGATGCTCTGCTGGGGAAGGAGGGACAGTCTCCTCCTGTACCATTCAGATCTGATTTGACGGTACACACAAATAATAATAATAAAAAAAAAAACAGTCTCAATGCTCTGTGGCCTAGTGAATAAAGAATTGTGCTCCCAGCCCAAAGGCAGGCAGTTAGAATCCACTAGCTGCTCCATGCTCCATGGGAGAATGAAGGAAAATTGCCTCCTGTGCTGTTATAGCCTCCGAAAATCAGCTGGAGGGTCAGTATGAATCAGTTCTGATTTGATGCTGTAACAACAGCAGCAACTCTTAATTGCCTGATACCCTTACTAGTTTGTTGAAATGATATGTTTTTAAAATTAATGCATGAGAACATGTAATTGGCTTTTGTTGAGTTGACAGCAGTTTGCACCAGAACAGATCTGGAGCTTGCTTTATCTTGCACCATATTCACAACCTGTGTCACATTCAAGTTCACTGTTGTCATCACTGTGGGGAGTTTTGCTTTTCCCCCCAGCATGATATCTTTCCCCAAGGACTGGCCCTTCCTGGCACCATGCCCAAAGTTTGTGAGACAGAGTTTCATCATCCTTGCCTTTAAAGAATACTCTGATTATTCTTCCTTCAAGAGAGGTTTGTTAACTTTGCTATCAAGGACCTCTTTAAAGTTTGAATGAGTGAGGATGTCTAAAGACCAGGATGTGTCTGATTCAGATAATCATATTTTAAATGTTACCCATGCATAGGGAAGTTGAATAATGAGTAAAGGAGACCCAAAAAAGAATTGATGTCTTTGAATTGTCCTATTAGTGGAGAGTATTAAATACATTGTGGCCTGCTGAAAGAACAAACAACACTTGATAGTTCAATGTTTTTCACATATACAACTGAGTGGCACTGCCAACATCTCCTCCAAATATCCCATCATCATAAATAAAACTCAGTGCTTCTTAAAAATCACCCCTCATTCTCTTTCCTCCCTGCAGTGGGTACCCACTAATAAGCTTTGGTGGCTGTGCATCAGATAATATTTTTAAGATTAAGATATATTCAGTATAGTTTTATTTCTTATTTTCTCAAGATAATGTAATTACAATATAGGCATTCTGGAGCAAATTCTCAATGTATCTTTTAATAAAGTAACTCCTTTAACATATTAATAAGATTTATTTTATCTAAAATCAATTAGACAATATAGAATATTCCCTATAACTATATAGTAAACTTCACTCAGTTATTCTATATCTTGAAGACAGGTTGCATACATAAAGGGTGAAGTATAATATAGACTAGCCATCACTACTTTTTAAATTATTTATGGTGTTAATGGGTTCATTAAAGGGTTCATCATTTGTATCTTCTTATTTGAGATTTGATACTGAATAGTCAGATGGATGCAACAGAGAAATGTATTAAGTCCAGATTTTATCTCACATAATATTTCATTACCATTCTTGAGAAAGACACTTCTTTGAGGTTTCAGTGAACTCTATTTACTGAATCATTAGTAAGGTGCACATTGTCTTAGTTACCTCTCAAAACTTTATTGCTTTCAAATCAGAACCAGCTCATAGTTGAGAGGTTATAAATTGCATGAGTGAGAATTTCCCATCTTTCTCCTGTGGAGAAGCTGGTAGATTTGATGGATTCAAACTGTTTGCCTGTAGGTTGACAGCTCAACTCACTGACCATTGTTCTCCTATGCAGTAGTTGGAGGATTTGAACCATGTGCCTTTAGGTTGGCAGCACAATTCCCTACTCACCATAGCTGCCTTAGCTATAACTCCTACTATAATAGAGATGGTTCAAGCAAGTGGCTTTACCAAACAGAAATTTTTGAAATTTTAGAATTGTGTTTGAAACTATAGTTTAGTTCATAAATGTGACAAATAATCTTGTAAATAGACTTGTTGTTGTTGTTATGTGCCATCGAGTCGTTTGCGACTCATAGCGACCCTATGTACAACAGCCCTAAACCCTGCTCTATCCTGTGCCAATCGCATTGCCTCTGACACACCCATCCCGCTTACCCCAGTCACTGAATCGATCCACCTCATGGAGGGTCTTCTCCTCCTGCGCTGTCCCTCTACTCTACCCAGCATGATGTCCCTCTCCAAAGACCTGTCTCTCCTTGCAACATGTCTGAAGTATGTCAGACGAAGCCCCAGAATCCTTACCTCCAAGGAGTAGCCTGGTTTAACCCTCTCTAGGATGAATCTGTTTGTTTTCTTGGCAGTCCATGGTATATTCAATACTCTTCTCCAGCACCACAGCTCAAAGGCGTCAATTCTCCTTTTATCCTCCCTAGTCATTGTCCAGCTCTCTGATGCATAACAAGTGATTGCAAAGACCATGGCCTGTATCAGGTGTACCTTCGTCTCCAAAGAGACACTGTTGCTTTTGAGTACTTTGGAGAGGTCCCTAACAGCAGACTTTCTCATCGCAATACGTTTTTTTATTTCCTGGCTGCTGGTGCCAAGAGTGTTGACTGTGGAGCCGAGCAAACCGAAGCTGTGGACGAAAGAACAAACACCCTTCTTAAAGAAAGTGCAACTAGAGCACTCCTTCGAAGCAAGGATGTTGAGGACGTGCTCCGGCTTTGGATATGTTTTCAGGAGTGGCTAGCCTGGAGTTGGACAACATGCTTGGAAAAACAGAGGGTTAGTAAAAGAGATAGATCTTAACAAGATACCTTGGCACAATGACTGCAACAATGGACTTGAGCCCAATGGGATTGTGGAGATGACTCACAATGAGACACACTTAATTCTGTTGTACATACTATTGCCATGAGTTAGAGTCTGTCTATTCAATGACACCTAACGGCAACATTTGTAGTCTCATGTTTTTCTTCACTTCTCCTCAGTGTCTTCATACACAAGTCTGTTTTGTTCTGTTGTTTTTCAGGAGCGGGCCCTTTCCCAGCAATTATTGATATGTTTGGTGCTGCTGGCGGTCTCATTGAATTCCGGGCCAGCCTCCTGGCCAGTCGTGGATTTGCCACCTTGGCCTTGGCTTTCATTGACTATGAAGAGCTGCCTTCTGACTCAGAAGAACTAGACTTGGAATATTTTGAGGAAGCTGTCAACTTTCTCCTGAGACATCCTAAGGTAATTTTTGCCTTTTCAGAATATTTTTAAATATGATATGATGTGATATGATTCTCATATGAATACATGCGCGCGCGCGCACACACACACATATATATATATATAAATATGAGCTCGGGTGACCTCTTGGATAAGGAGTTGTGCTGTCAACCCGAAAGTCAGGCAATTCAAACTCACTAGCAAACTCACTTGGAAGAAATATAGGCAATCTTCTTCTGTGTGATTTACAGCCTCTGAAAACCCATTAGAGGGTCAGTTATGAGTTGGTTCTGACTAAATAGCACATAATAGCAAGAAGAATACAGTTCTAAATAAATGTATAAAATGATTAATAGTTTCTATTCATGTAAAATATGTATTATTGTTGTTGTTAGGTTTCAGTGAGTTGAATATGGCTTGTAATGACCTTGTTAACAGAGACCAGAATCCTGTCCTGTCCTGAGCCATCCTCGTCATCTCTGACACCCTTGAGTCCATTGTTGCAGGCCTCTGTCCAACCATCTCACTGAGACTCATCTTCTCTTTTGTTGATCTTCCACTTTTTCATTTAAGTTTGATGTCCTTTTAGGAGGAATAGCCTTTCTTAACATCATACCCCAAGTATGAGAAAAATTTCAGCATGTTTGCTGTAAGGAGAACTCTGACGGCACTTTTCCCAAGACATATCTTTGTTCTTATGGCAGTTCATGGGATAGTACTCTACTCCAAAAGTATATATAAAAGTAGTTGTAATTGTTAAGTGCTGTCAAGTGGATTCCAAATCATAGAGACCTTAAGTACAACAGAATCAAACCTTTCCTCATATTGTACCATCCTCACTGTTTCCTCTGTGTTCACACTTGTTGAGGTCGCTATGCCAAGCCTTCTCTTGGAGAGTCTTCTTCTTTGTTGAAATCTATTTGTCCTCCTTACTTCCTCCTTTCCTCCCT